GCCCGGCCTTTTTTGTGGTGATTTCCCTGTGTCACAGCCCCTCCCCTTGCCCCCACCTGGGACTTGTTTGTGCCACCCTCCCTTGGCGGCCAATCCCCTGCCAGTGGGCAGGCCGGGGCTCTCCCATCTGCCCCCGACCTCAGTGGGTCCCACCTCTGCCCGCGGGGTCCTCTCAGCCTGGGTGACCCTCGTCTCCGGTCCGGGCACCGGCCCACTGTTGCACATCCTTTCCATCAGCTTCTGGGATATTCCCTTTTGTACTTTCTCTCCTCGCGGTCTCTGCTCTCATATCTGGAGCTCAGCCCCGCACGTGTGGTCTCTGAGAAGGAGCTTTGTTCTCATCCCTTCTCTCTCCCGTTTCCATCTCTTTGCCTTTCCTCTGCTTTCTGGGAGATTCCCTTCTCTTCCTACAATGCTGGTAACATTTTTTGTCAGCCCTCATACATTTAATTCCCAAGCGCCCTTCGCTGTTCTCTGATCTTATTTCATGGCATCTGTTTCTGTTTCTGTTTCTGTTTCTGTTTTAAGGGTGCAAAGAAGCCGCGTCTTCTTCCGTGTCTCTCAGAACATTCACTGAAGGTGCCTGGACGTTTTACTCCCCTCCCGGCGTTGTCTGCTTCCTCTGGGGTCCTGTGGGTTTGTCCTCACTTTTCCCTTTCATGCTGGCGGTGTTCCTATATTCCTAATTGTACTATTAATAGCTCCTTGGGCATTCAGATTGGGAGTGAGGGTCTGAAATGCTGCCTGGAAATGCTGACTCACTGGAGACGCTGAGGTGAGGGGCTTCCCTGCGGTGATAAGGTGACACACGTTAGTCCTTGCTGGCCGCCCTGCCCTCCCTGCCCCGGCTCCAGCAGCTCTGGTCTCCCCATGGTCCTGAATTGCATCCGCACTGTGGTGTCCCTGGTCTTGGCATCTGCTCTTCCTCCTGCTTTGGGGGCTCTGCCTGCTCCCCTGGTCCACGTGAAGGCGCCTCCTCACCTCTGAGGTGTTCCTGGCCTGCCTCACCTTTCTGCATCGCTGGGGCCCATCTTCCGGTTCCCCTTCGGTTACGTCTCATCCACCGATTAACCTGTATGTTGCGTTTTTTAAGTTTTGTTCTGTTACCATAATCTCCACCTTTAGTTACAGAGATTCCATGTTTCTCCCCAGTCTATTGCCTTCAATGCATTTTCCAATCATCTTTTAATTGGCTGAAATTTGCGCCTCATGATTCCTTCAAGAGGGGCTAATCAAACTATTTTCCTTAATCTCTTACTCATTCCAAAATGTTGGCTGGGTATGAAATTCTTGATTCATACCGTCTTTCTGCTGGGCTGTGTAGACATCATTCTACTGTCTTCTGGCTTTGAGTGTTTCTATGGAGAAGTCTGAGGAAAACTTCCTTTTTTTTCTCTTCTTAAAGGAAGACTTGATCTCTTTCCTTGGCTGCCCCCAATATGATCTGTGTCTTGAAGTCCAGGAACTTTATTATTAGGATATGTTTCAGGGTTGCCAATTCAGTTTCAGTTTTTTATTTCAATCTGTAGATGAAAGTTTTCTTTTATGTCTGACAAGTTTTCTTTATCCTTTAAACAACTGTTAGGTTCTATTGTTTCTCTTCACTTCTGTAAAGATTACAATTCTGCACATGCCAAGCCTCTGCTAGCTGCCCTCCAGGATTCTTTTATTTTTTTAAATTAATTAATTTTTGGTTGCATTGGGTCTTCGTTGCTGCATGTGGGCTTTTCTCTAGTTGCGGTGAGTGGGGGCTTCTCTGTTGCGGTGCGTGGGCTTCTCACTGCGGTGGGTTCTCTTGTTGTGGAGCACGGGTTTTAGGCGCATGAGCTTCAGTAGTTGCAGCATGTGGGCTGAGTAATTGTGGCTCGCAGGCTCTAGAGAGCAGGCTTAGTAGTAGTGGCGCACGGGCTTAGTTGCTCCGCGGCATGTGGGATCTTCCCGGACCAGGGCTGGAACCCGTGTCCCTGTGTTCATGCTGGGGGTATTGCTATATTCCTAATTATACTAGGAATATAGCATTCCTGAATATATATGCTAGGAATTATACTAGGAATTATGCTAGGAATTATACTAGGAATATAGCATTC